ACCAAGTCTTGACCCGGATAGCAGCCTCATTAGACGTAGAGATGCAAGTCTGATCCTAATCACACACTCAGACCTTGACAAAGCACTCAGGCGAGTGCGAAAGACTTGGTGTAAATTCCTTACATAAATTTCACATATACACAAGTGTGGGGGTTTATCCTATATTATTATGTCTGTGAGAAGACATTACCATTACTACTACTACTACTAATAATAATAATAATGCCTAGGAGAGCCTGTGTCTCCTCCCACTCTCCATCCTCCCCATCTTCTTGTCCCCCCTCTCTCTCTCTACATCCCTCTCTTTTCCCTAATTTTCCGCTCCCTCTCCTCTTCCTCCCCTTTCCCGCTCTCTTTGCACTCTTTCCTGTCACCTCCCCCACTTCCCCCCATCTTTCCTCTCTCCCCCCATCACCCAATCTTCCAACCCTCTGCTCCAGTCTCGAACAGGCAGACAGGCAGAATTCATTAGGATAGAAGGAGAGCCCGGCTGCACCCGGGTCTCTTTCTCCTTCCTTCCACCCTTCCCTCCTCTTCCCAGCTCTTCATCCCATCTCCCCTATGGCTCCCTCGTCTCTATCCCCATGGTCCCCATCTTAGTCCCTCCCCTTGTTCTTCCGCACTTCATCTTCCTCTCATTGTTCCCCTTCCCCCTCATTCTTTCCGAAAAATTGCTACCAAAGAGCACTGAAGCAACTGTATGGGTCTTTCAGTAAATGGTAATATTACGACCAGTAAAAACTCATGGGGATCACACAAAATATTTCCCGCTATGACTATGAAAATCGTTGGGGGGGGGGGGATGTAAATAATTATGCTTCTTAAATCATTCACCTTAGGTTAAAACGCCTACCAGCCTATGTCCATCCCGTACCCCATACCATTTCCCCCTGCAAAGTTGTGAGAGGCCATACTGACAGACAGATATGTAGACATTCATTATCTATTGTTGTATACATGCTGTCGGGTAGCCAGCGGTGCCTGGGCCTCTGTGTCTACCTCCCATCTACCAATCTATCTACCTATATATCCAAATATCTATGTTTTGTGAGTGTGGGGGGGGGGGCTATTATTATTTTATCTACGGGGTTATCCTCACTTGCCAAACACTTCCTACTCTTGTCTGTCAGGAATACAAGATCACAGAGATCCAAACTGATTCGCTTTCGCCCAAATGAGGCTTTCTCTCCAAAATATTATCATCAGTAACAAATATACATATATATAAAAACCCAAAAAGCAGCACTCCCTCTCTAATACCTAGAAAAACTTAAGAAGTCACCGGGCAACGCCTCACGTCTTATGAGAAAGGACCCAAGTTGTGCATGAGGAACTCACATCAGCAAAAGATCTGTCGTCATGTACTACCTCCACTGTTGAACCCTTGGTACACTCCTCTCTCAGCTATGTACTCTCCGGTGTCCTTCCTCCAACTCTCAGTTCATTATCTTCCCTCCCGGGGTTTGACCGACCCGAACAGGCAGGGACGTGAATCTAAAATTAACTAATATTTAATAAATAAAAAAATATTTAGCACTCCGACACTACCCTCTGTTTCTTATACTAGAACAGGGTTAAACATCCTAACCTTCACTATATGTTAAAAGTGTTTGCACATCTGTTTATCTGTTCAAAGTTGGAGGGCTAGGCTCACCCAAATTGGCAGAGGGAATGGTCTGGGGTACGGGATGAACATAGGTGGGGCAGGGGTCGCCAGAATTCAGAGTTAAGCAGCGTGCCAGGGTCACATCTATAACCCCTCACGACGATCTTTGGCACTGCCCACACAGCTAAATTTTTCCAAGACAAACTTTTGAGAAAAAAAAACTCCTTATAGTAATATGCACACTTATTCGCCAATCTCGGGAAAATTAACAGAAATTTCCTGCTCTCAATAACTTGCCCGTACTTGCATAAAACAATTTTTTTTTACTCAGCTTCAAAAGTTTCACAAGCCACACGGCTCTTTACCTAAGGGGTAACTATTCTTTTTTTTAGTATCTCACATTAATTGCTCCTCACACTGGCAATCACCCAAGCATCTCTCAATTACATTTTTTATAAAAGACAGACAGATAGACAGAGCCAGGTAACGACAGAGACAGAGACATATACTGAGAGAGGTAGAGAGACAGAAAGACAGACAATTGATAAATGGATGCATAGAGGTATAGATTGATGAATAGATCGAAAGATAGAGATCGATTGAAAATAGATTGATGGCAGAATGAATAGAGATATGAGTACATGGAGGGCTAAATGGGTCAGTAGATGGATGAATAGATGGATAGATATATGGATTGGAAGATGAGTAAGTGGATAGAAAGATAGATGGGTAGGTGGATGGATATATAAATAGATATTACGGATAGATTGATGGATAGATAGATGGATGGATATATAAATAGATATTATAGATAGATTGATGGATAGATAGATAGATAGATAGATATAGATAGATGGATATATAAATAGATATTACGGAAAGATTGATGGATAGATAGATAGATGGATAGACAGATTGATAGATTAATACATGGATGGAGAGATGGATAATGTTACGGAGGGAGAGACAGGTATCCTCACTCTCTTCATATTTAGGATTCGGGAATGAGAGTATACGTTTTTTCTTTCCCTTCCTCATACCGTTCCATCCCAAATCCTTATCCTGATCCCTTCCAAGTGCTATATATAAACATAATAGCTTGGCGTTTTCTCCTCATAACTCCCCCTATCCCTTCCTCATACTCCTCTAACCCTCATACCGAAGTCTCAGCACTGACACCCTTCCCATATAAGCACCAGACACACAGAGGGACCTCAGCAGCTTCAAGACGACACACTATTGGCTGTCACACTGTCACCAGAGTGAGGGAGGGGGTAGAGCGTGAGGTGGGAAGTAGGCATCCATCAGTCTTAGGAGACTATGGAGTTGCGCTCTTGTTGTCGGTCTGGAGTGGTCTCACCAGGGTGCAAAGCCAGGGTAGGTTGATTCGGGGGAGAAGCTGTTACCCAGGCAGCAGGTCCCCCCTCTCCAATTCGCTGAAAGTCTCCAATGGAAAGGCATACGCCAATACGATTGGTTCCAGCGCCGTCGCAGGAACCGGGGTAGAGCTGGGTATACTGGGGCAGTCATGGCCCCCAGGGCACCAACGGTGTAGAACTGGGTATACTGGGGCAGTCACGGCCCCCAGGGCATCCACGGTGTAGAACTGGGTATACGGGGGCAGTCACGGCCCCCAGGGCACCCACGGTGTAGAGCTGGGTATACGGGGTCAGTCACGGCCCCCAGGGCATCCACGGTGTAGAGCTGGGTATACTGGGGCAGTCACGGCCCCCAGGGCATCCACGGTGTAGAACTGGGTATACGGGGGCAGTCACGGCCCCCAGGGCACCCACGGTGTAGAGCTGGGTATACGGGGTCAGTCACGGCCCCCAGGGCATCCACGGTGTAGAGCTGGGTATACTGGGGCAGTCACGGCCCCCAGGGCATCCACGGTGTAGAGCTGGGTATACGGGGTCAGTCACGGCCCCCAGGGCACCCACGGTGTAGAGCTGGGTATACGGGGTCAGTCACGGCCCCCAGGGCATCCACGGTGTAGAACTGGGTATACGGGGTCAGTCACGGCCCCCAGGGCACCCACGGTGTAGAGCTGGGTATACGGGGTCAGTCACGGCCCCCAGGGCATCCACGGTGTAGAACTGGGTATACGGGAGCAGTCACGGCCCCCAGGGCACCCACGGTGTAGAGCTGGGTATACGGGGTCAGTCACGGCCCCCAGGGCACCCACGGTGTAGAGCTGGGTATACGGGGTCAGTCACGGCCCCCAGGGCACCCACGGTGTAGAGCTGGGTATACGGGGTCAGTCACGGCCCCCAGGGCACCCACGGTGTAGAGCTGGGTATACGGGAGCAGTCACGGCCCCCAGGGCATCCACGGTGTAGAGCTGGGTATACGGGGTCAGTCACGGCCCCCAGGGCACCCACGGTGTAGAGCTGGGTATACGGGGTCAGTCACGGCCCCCAGGGCACCCACGGTGTAGAGCTGGGTATACGGGTCAGTCACGGCCCCCAGGGCACCCACGGTGTAGAGCTGGGTATACGGGGTCAGTCACGGCCCCCAGGGCACCCACGGTGTAGAGCTGGGTATACGGGAGCAGTCACGGCCCCCAGGGCACCCACGGTGTAGAGCTGGGTATACGGGGTCAGTCACGGCCCCCAGGGCACCCACGGTGTAGAGCTGGGTATACGGGGGCAGTCACGGCCCCCAGGGCACCCACGGTGTAGAGCTGGGTATACGGGGGCAGTCACGGCCCCCAGGGCACCCACGGTGTAGAACTGGGTATACGGGAGCAGTCACGGCCCCCAGGGCACCCACGGTGTAGAGCTGGGTATACGGGGTCAGTCACGGCCCCCAGGGCATAAACATCACAACTAAACAACATTTCAACATTTCACGACTAAACATCACAATCACGTCAAACATCGACCACTTACGGGCTATTCATGTCTTGTGTCGCCTCTTGTGGTGGCTTAATCTTCGTCAATCAATCAACCAGGCCACCCCTAGTGTTACGTCTGTGACAATCTGGGTAGTTTACCAGCACGTCCTGTGCTGAAGGGGAAACACTTCCTCCACGCTCCGTACTCGAAAGTAGCCTTCAAGCAAGCAAAATATGAGGCTACGCTCCTCCATCTCTTCAATTGGCTCGGGGAGCGATGATACCCACCACCGATGATATCACCACCACAATGATACCCACGGTGCCCGGGGTAGTGAAGATACTTCCAGAAACGAAGACTACGGCTCCATCTCCATAGTAGTGGAGATGGTGGTAGATAGCGTAGACAACCTACCTATCAACCTATCCTGACTTTGCGCCCTGGAGAGGCCAGGGCGCAAAGGTGATGGTGATGGCTTGGTGCTTTCCCCTGATTATTCCCTCCCTCCCTCTCGTCTCATCAACGTAAAAAAAGAGAAAATAGAGTAAGAGATGATGTTGTATAGCATGACCTCACTCATACAACACAAAGTGACCTGACCAGTGTAATGTGAGGGTGGCTGTGGAGGCCCTCACACCGGCCCTCCCAGCTAGACTGTGATCTCACATGTCAAGCCTTGGCGGTTGGTGAGTCTGAGCCCCGTCCGTTCCTGTCCCACTCCAGGCCGTTTGGGCTTCGTTTGAGACTGTTGGCGTCTCGTTCCAGCACGTTGACGAGTCCATGACCATTTGCGTCTCGCTGGAGGCCAATGGTAGTTCGAACAAGGCACTTGACGCCTTGGTCCAAGCCGATAGCTTCTCGTCCACCATCTTTGGGGAGTTGCTCCGGGCCTTCGACGTGTTGAAGTACCAACATCCGTAGTCGTAGTAGGGGGTTATGGAGCCGTTGTCGTAGTAGAGGGTTATGGAGCCATTGTCGTAGTAGGGGGTTATGGAGCTGTTGTCGTAGTAGGGGGTTATGGAGCTGTTGTCGTAGTAGGAGCCGTTGACATAGTAGGGGGTTATGGAGCCGTTGTCGTAGTAGGGGGTTATGGAGCCGTTGTCGTAGTAGGGGGTTATGGAGCCGTTGTCGTAGTAGAGGGTTATGGAGCCATTGTCGTAGTAGGGAGTTATGGAGCCGTAGTCGTAGTAGGGGGTTATGGAGCCGTTGTCGTAGTAGGGGGTTATGGAGCCGTTGTCGTAGTAGGGGGTTATGGAGCCGTTGTCGTAGTAGGGGGTTATGGAGCCGTTGTCGTAGTAGGGGGTTATGGAGCCGTTGTCGTAGTAGAGGGTTATGGAGCCATTGTCGTAGTAGAGGGTTATGGAGCCGTTGTCGTAGTAGGGGGTTATGGAGCCGTTGTCGTAGTAGGGGGTTATGGAGCCGTTGTCGTAGTAGGGGGTTATGGAGCCGTTGTCGTAGTAGGGGGTTATGGAGCCGTTGTCGTAGTAGGGGGTTATGGAGCCGTTGTCGTAGTAGGGGGTTATGGAGCCGTTGTCGTAGTAGAGGGTCATGGAGCCATTGTCGTAGTAGGGGGTCATGGAGCCGTTGTCGTAGTAGGGGGTTATGGAGCCGTTGTCGTAGTAGGGGGTTATGGAGCTGTTGTCGTAGTAGGGGGTTATGGAGCTGTTGTCGTAGTAGGGGGTTATGGAGCCGTAGTCGTAGTAGGGGGTTATGGAGCCGTTGTCGTAGTAGGGGGTTATGGAGCTGTTGTCGTAGTAGGGGGTTATGGAGCCGTTGTCGTAGTAGGGGGTTATGGAGCTGTTGTCGTAGTAGGGGGTTATGGAGCTGTTGTCGTAGTAGGAGCCGTTGACATAGTAGGGGGTTATGGAGCCGTTGTCGTAGTAGGGGGTTATGGAGCCATTGTCGTAGTAGTGGGTTATGGAGCCGTTGTCGTAGTAGAGGGTCATGGAGCCGTTGTCGTAGTAGTGGGTTATGGAGCCATTGTCGTAGTAGTGGGTTATGGAGCCATTGTCGTAATAGTGGGTTATGGAGCCATTGTCGTAGTAGTGGGTTATGGAGCCATTGTCGTAATAGTGGGTTATGGAGCCATTGTCGTAATAGTGGGTTATGGAGCCATTGTCGTAGTAGTGGGTTATGGAGCCGTTGTCGTAGTAGGGGGTTATGGAGCCATTGTCGTAGTAGTGGGTTATGGAGCCATTGTCGTAGTAGTGGGTTATGGAGCCATTGTCGTAGTAGTGGGTTATGGAGCCATTGTCGTAGTAGGGGGTTATGGAGCCATTGTCGTAGTAGTGGGTTATGGAGCCGTTGTCGTAGTAGAGGGTCATGGAGCCATTGTCGTAGTAGTGGGTTATGGAGCCATTGTCGTAGTAGGGGGTTATGGAGCCGTTGTCGTAGTAGAGGGTTATGGAGCCGTTGTCGTAGTAGGGGGTTATGGAGCCGTTGTCGTAGTAGGGGATTACGGAGCCGCTGTCGTAGTAGGGGGTTACGGAGCCGTGACCGTAGTTCAAGATGGAGCCGTTATCGTAGTACAAGATGGAGCGATTGTCGTAATTTTAAGAAGAGGAGCTGTTGTCGTAGTAGGGAGAGGCGGGACCGTTTTCGTAGTAGGGAGAGACGGAGTCGTTGTCGTTGTTGGAGCCGTTGTCGTAGTATGGAGAAGTGGGACCGTTTTCGTAGTAGGGAGAGGCGGGACTGTTGTCGTTGAAAGGAGAAGCGGGACCGTTGTCGTAGTAGGGAGAGGCGGGACCGTTGTCGTAGTAGGGAGAGGCGGGACCGTTGTCGTAGTAGGGAGAGGCGGGACCGTTGTCGTAGTAGGGAGAGACGGAGTCGTTGTCGTTGTTGAAGCCGTTGTCGTTGAAGGGAGAGGTGGGACCGTTGTCGTAGTAGGAAGAGACGGGACCGTTGTCGTAGTCGGAGCTGCTGTCGTAGTTGGAGGAGGCGGAGCTGTTGTCGTAGTAGGGAGAGGCGGATATGTAGTCGTAATAGGGAGAGGCCGAGCCGTTGTCGTAGTTGGAGGAGGCCGAGTCGTTGTCGTAGTTGGAGGAGGAGGAGCTGTTGTCATAGTAAGGAGAGGCGGAGTGGTAGCCGAAGTCGTAGCTGTAGTAGGGGTAGGCGGAGCCGTTGTTGTAGTGCTGGGAGACGCAGCTGTTGTTGTAGGGAGGGACGGAACTGTTGTCGAAGCTGCAGCAGACGAAGATGTCGTCGAAGGCGGAGGAGAGGGACCCGTTGTCATAGAAGCTGAAATCATAGGAGTCATCGTCAGGGTCAGAGGAGTCGAAGTCAGGGTCTTGTGGGATCGTGGGGGATAGTGATTTAATATTTATATTATTATTATTATTGTGCATGACGATACTAATCCTTTAGAAGATTTTTTTTTAATTTTTATTAAAAAAAGATTGAAAAAATAATGTCTTTAAAAAGTACGAAAGCGAGATTAAGGACATCGATGCTGCTCATGCATTTTTGCCTCTTCACCAGGTTCTTAGCCTTTTTCAGGCAAAAAACGTTTTTTTTTTAGGCGTTCTCCTTCCCACATAAGCCTCAAGCTAGGTGAGTACGATAGCTGTGAGTGATGCTCTCGACAACCCACTGTAGACTAGGCATCCTCGCAGTTTCAGATATTGTCTTACTAACATTTCTAAGCCTCCTAAACAGTATTCTATAACCTGTTCAGTGAGATGTCCTACCAGAAGGCCCTCCAGGTGTAGCTTGGGTCCATGTCGCAGTCTTCTCACAATGAAAAGCTTGGAGAGACTCTCTTCCTGTCCATAAAATCCCAACAACTAAACCAGCTGGAGAAAGTAGCTACAATCTATATAAATAAATATGTAAATGTTCGTTTGTTCAAAATTGCTAATCTCCAAAAGTTCTCCACAGATTGCTTTGAAATTTTCATACAACGTTCCATTAGCATCCGAGCGGGGTTTCATATACATACTATATAGATGTCATGTCTGTGACGGGAAAAAAAAGGTTTAAAAAAAAAAAAATCATGTGAGGGGAAATCTTCGAAACCACTTTACTGATTACTTTGACATTTTGACACAACGTTCCATTCGAATACGTGCGTGTTTTTATATACCTACTATATAGATGCCGCACCTGTGAGGTAAAAACGTTTTTTTTAAACAGCGCCATCTGTTGCACGTAAGAGCAACACATGCTATACTAAATATGTTACGATTCCATTTCAGTGTTTCCGATTACATTGATAAATTGAATTTTCACAGATTTCGATTTATTTTCATTTTGATTTAATTATTTTAGTGAGACATTGCATTAGAAGTGAGCTGTGTTGTTTACCATACTGTTCATTTTGTGAGTATAAGTATAGATGCCACACCTGTGACAGGTTTAAACTTTCTTTCTTTGAAAAACAGCGCCATCTGATGCCCAAAACACTTTGCGTCATAATGGCTTTAGGCATTGTATGTACTAGCTCAATTTATAAACCTTGTATGTATGTACTTTACCTGAATAAACATTTGAATTTTGAATTTGAATTTTTGATGCAAGTAGGAGCAACACACAATCGTAACATATACTAAATATGTTACGATTCCATTTCAATGTTTCTGATTTCACTGATAAATTGAATTTTCATAATTTTCGATTTATTTTCATTAGATTTAAATATTTTATATGACATTGCATTGGAATTGAGCTGTGTTGCTTACCATACTATTCATTTCGTGAGTATGGTTTAATTTTTAATTTTTCAATGTCTTTCATTTCACTTTTTTTTTTAACTGTTTTCTTATATTACAGTAATTGGAACATCAGATCATTTGATGTTCCTAATTTTCTGATGGGAACATCAGATCATTTGGGAATGCATTGGACGAGGGAGTGGGAAATGGTGAGGAGGACGAAGGAACTGGAGTGAGGGATGGTGGCAAGGACGGGGGGACAGAAGAAGGGGTAATGGTGGGGAGGACGAGGGGACAGGGAGAGGACGAGGGGACAGGGAGAGGACGAGGGGACAGCGGGGTTGGAGAATGGTGGGGAGGACAAGGTGACAGGGAAGTGGGGGGGATGGTGGGGGAGGACGAGGGGATGATAGAGGAGGAATGGTAGGGAAGGCGAGGGGATGATAGAGGGGATGATAGAGGAGGAATGGTAGGGAAGACGAGGGGATGGGGAAGTGGGAGATAGTGGGGAGGACGAGGGGGATGGTGGAGTGGGTAATGGTGGGGAGGATGTTGTTCTGTGGGTGTAACTGAGCCGTAACTGTAACTAGCTGTAGGAGGACTGGTCGACAGGGCCTTCGAGACGTTGAGTGCCGAAATCATCGCAAGGTAACGAAGCTCATGGTATTATGTGTTGTGTCTGTATTAATGTGGAGAATTGTGGGTTTATTTCCTTGGGTGACTTTTCTTATGAATGTTTATTAGAAATTTTAAAGTCATATCTGGATTTTGTTTAGAATTTTGTGGCTTGTGGTGTTGAAGTGTAAGTGTCGGTTTGTTAAGACTTTGCTTGGCCTAAGTGTTCTGGGGATTTTATTTGACAATTTATTGTATGCCTGGGTCCTCATCCCTGTTATGTGTTGCGTGAAGTGTGTTCTTTATGTACTGGTGTGGTTGGGCAGTGTCTCGCTGTGTTTAAAATTAATTTGTACATTAAGTTGTTGAGAATGAATGTCCATTGTGTGGTCCTTTGTCATATGAAAGTGGGGAAGGAATGTGCTGTTTCATGTGTGCTTTTTATGACTCTTTTGTTCCCGCCTTTGTACCTTTTGGTGATTAGTGCGTAATGATGACTTTGTCGTGTCCTTGCGTACTGGTGTCTCTGTGTATGTACTGGTGTCTCTGTCTAGGAACTGGTGTCTCTGTGTAGGTACTGGTGTCTCTGTGTAGGTACTGGTGTCTCTGTGTAGGTACTGGTGTCTCTGTGTAGGTACTGGTGTCTCTGTGTAGGAACTGGTGTCTCTGTCTAGGAACTGGTGTCTCTGTGTAGGTACTGATGTCTGTGAAGGTACTGGGCCCTCTGTGTAGGTACTGGTGTCTCTGGTTAGGTACTGGTGTCTCTGTGAAGGTACTGGAGTCTCTGTGAAGGTACTGGTGTGTCTGTGTAGGTCCTGGTGTCTCTGTGTAGGAACTGGTGTCTCTGTGTATGTACTGGTGTCTCTGTCTAGGAACTGGTGTCTCTGTGTAGGTACTGGTGTCTCTGTGAAGGTACTGGTGTCTCTGTGTAGGTACTGGTGTCTCTGTGAAGGTAATGGTGTCTCTGTGTAGGTACTGGTGTCTCTGTGAAGGTAATGGTGTCTCTGTGAAGGTAATGGTGTCTCTGTGCAGGTCCTGGTGTGTCTGTGCAGGTCCTGGTGTCTCTGTGTAGGTACTGGTGTCTCTGTGTAGGTACTGGTGTCTCTGTGTAGGTACTGGTGTCTCTGTGTAGGTACTGGTGTCTCTGTGTAGGTACTGGTGTCTCTGTGTAGGTACTGGTGTCTCTGTGTAGGTACTGGTGTCTCTGTGTAGGTACTGGTGTCTCTGTGTAGGTACTGGTGTCTCTGTGTAGGTACTGGTGTCTCTGTGTAGGTACTGGTGTCTCTGTGTAGGTACTGGGCCCTCTGTGTAGGTACTGGGCCCTCTGTGTAGGTACTGGTGTCTCTGTGTAGGTACTGGTGTCTCTGTGTAGGTACTGGTGTCTCTGTGTAGGTACTGGTGTCTCTGTGTAGGTACTGGTGTCTCTGTGTAGGTACTGCGCCCTCTGTTTAGGTACTGGTATCTCCTTAATAGCTGTCATCGAATTCCAGTACGCTTCTTAAACAAAGAAATGCCTTCTCTGAAGCCATGTTAGTTGAACATCTGTTTTTATTATTCCTTTCTTCTGTTTACAGTGCTATGCTCCCAAACTCATCTACTGCATACAGTGTCTCTTCTTGCAGAGAAGAGACACTTCTATACTCACATACTCATTTCTTGGCCCTTATGAAGTAGTCTTGAAACGCTCGTGTCCACCTGTCCATGCATCTTTTTCATGCCTCTTTGACTGCCTCTTCTTTCACTCTGGGGGACACTTTGTACGGGTCTATGTGTGGTGAATCGCCCACTCTTTGTTAATTCTCACTCAAGGTGTCGTTGTTTCATTTAACTGTGATCAGGTTCGGGGAGTCTAAAGAACGTCTCAGGCACTGTGTGTAAGGCCCCTCGGCGTCACAGTCGGAATTCACAGTGCTTTTTACACGTTGATTTTATGTATCTGTGCCTCTTAAATCGATTATAGCGCCTTAGCTTGTGGATCCTAATACAAACCTTGAGCACCAAAGTGCTCCGTGGTTGTATATATAAACATTAAGTGAACTGTATGTTAAATGTTAACTATGACGCGATGATCAACGAAAGATGTAATGGACTGAGTTTATTTAACATTATACAAAATCTGAACCATAAAGGTTAGTCGTCAATTTAAGGTTAATATTGCATGAACGACAGCCTATAGCGCTTCGGGCCTCGTGGTTGAGGTCTCGTAAGTGATCTGTTAATCCTGACTTTCATTTACTTTTGATAACCGCCACCAGGAATCACTACAATACTTATCTTAAGGGGAAATATATAAGTTTCATCCATATCTCGATATCTCCACATGGTTATAACACTATGGCAGGATATCACGTTACTTAACACTAGCTACATAACCAGTTATGTGGTAATACTTTACACATAACTACATAACAAACTAAGGCAAGATACATATCATCTTATTATTTTATTATTGATAAAAAAAAAAATTCAGAATATAGCTGTGAATGTCTATAAGTAATAAAAATTACGTCTCACATAAACTGTTTCGTGATTGTATACCTTAGAAAATACATAACAATTTAGCATACAATTAAAATTCAAAACCATCAAACAACCTCCAAAAAAATAAATAAATGCCCATGTGGTACCTCTCTTTTGAGAGAGATAATTAAAGTCGGGTTTAAATTTAGCTCTTCAATACCGAGGGCAAGAAAGCTTAATCGGATTACCTTCAAACTTGGGCGAGTGTGGCAACTGGCGGAAACCAGGCATTAAATTCTGACCGGGGAAGAATTGGCTGGAGACTGTGGGAGAATTTTATATGTGTTTAAGCGGGAAGGAAGAGAGAGAGAGAGAGAGAGAAAGAGAGAGAGAAAGAGAAAGAGAGAGAGAGAGAGAGAGAGAGAGAGAGAGAGAGAGAGAGAGAGAGAGAGAGAGAGAGAGGAGAGAGAGAGAGAGAGAGAGAGAGAGAGAGAGAGAGAGAGAGAGAAAAGAGAGAGAGAGAGAGAGAAAGAAGAGAGAGAGAGAGAGAGAGAGAGAGCACAAGAGAGAGAGAGAAAGAGAGAGAGAGAGAGAGAGAGAGAGAGAGAGAGAGAGAGAGA